GGCCGGCAGGGCGGTGCGGGAAATGGCGCCGCCCGCCCGCCTCGCCAGCGGGTCCTGGAGTGCGAGCGAGTACCTCCCTCTCCTTACTGAGCAGCCACCTCCTCTCCGGGATGTTTTAGGTGTCCTCTCCTCCCGGCTGGTTGCCCTGAGCGCGGGAGGCAGAACACCCTTCCAGCAGGACAAAGTGAGGGACTCCCCTTTAGTGGGAGTCCTCATGGGTGAGGTGAGGTGTCGAATGCTGGCCCACCCTCACTCGTGTCAGATTTGATGCTTGATGCGAATTTGGGCTGAATAAGCTACAGTGCTTTAAAAGTGACCTTGGCACTGCTTGGCTGGATGAGGGATGTTGTTCTTGCTGTCATCTGTAGGTGACATCAACTATAAATTGTGCTGGCTTACAAGCTCCCAGTGGGCTCCCATTTGCTAGCTGGGGATTTCTAGGGGGCTCTCCAGCCCCACCACATTTTGCCCAGACAGCAGTGGCTGCCAACTTCCCTCCAGGAGGGAGCCCAAGCTGGTTGTGAGCCTCTTTCCACACAGCCGTTAGACCCAGGCATCTGGAAAGTTCTGGTTCTTGTTTTGCAGTGTCCCGCTCCTCGCCGCCATCCCGGCACCTACCACAGCAGTGTAGCACTCCTCGCCGCACCAGCCTCCACGTACACCTGCCTGCCTCAGGCAGATATACCTGATAACGTTTTATCTCCATAGTATACTTCTCTACCATCAAGACGTTTCTTAGAGTCTACTGCCCCCTGCGGAATTAGAGGTGGAAAAGTTTGGGAAGAAATGCTTTCAACAGGGACTTTGTCTTTCCTCTTCAAATATGCCTACTGAGAGAGGGACTCCAGCAATCCCCTCCTGGCAAAAGGTCTCATCAACAGACTTTCCGGTTGCTCTTACAGCGGTTATGATCATATCTTCCTGTTAATCTGGGCTGGGGTCTTTAATAGTTCACAGGTGGGCCCTCAAACACCCGTCTGGTGGTTTTGATCTATAGTAGACACCTTCAATTTGTGCTTCTATGTATTTTAAAGGAAATAAATTTATAGTGGTTTTAGCACACTTTCATGTATATGCATACGCACATTCCTGTACACCACACGCAGGGGGATATGTTGGCCCTTCAAATGAATCTTTCTGGGTTAATCTTTTCTTCAGGTAGTCAAATTTTGTTCTAATAGTCTTCAAATATGCAGCTAAATGACAAATGTGCAGCTACAACCCAGTGTTTGTTGATTGCATTTGAAAACAGACGTGAAAGGTCAATGAAACTGCAGTAAGTGTTCGGTGTGCTCTTGGAGTACTGCTTTATTTTCTCAGTACAGCACTCACATAATCTCTGTCTTCCTTTTAAACGTTGCTTGCTATGAATGCAAAGGATTAACAAGTGGGGTGGCAGATGGTGTTTTACTGCTTGCAGGAGCTCCTGCTGCTTATTTTGGCTTTGGCTTTCCCCAGCAGTACCATGGTATGTAATGAAAACGGAAAACACAAACACAGTGAGCAAATGTTCAACAAACTGATGTTTTTGCCCTTGAGAGAGCAAGTGGCTGTTAAATTCCAACCTATATTTGTATATTCCCATATTTAATTGCCTGCCAGGACATCCAGTTCTGTGAACAAGGACTAGATGGCAAACTGGCCTCCATGCTTATTACATTTATTTCATCTCATATCTGCACTTTTCTTGCCTTTTGTCTATTTTAGCAATTCCAGAGAGGATTTTGAAGGACAAAGATGACTTCTGCAGCTTTATTTCCAGTGATCCAGTCTCCAGCCACTGACGAAATACCTTTTGGTAAAAGGGATAAAAAAGGGAAGATAAATTCTGCATTTTGCTTCATACCTCTGAGAAATGTTCAGTTATGCTCTAAGGATAAACTTGAGTTCTGTGCACAAGCCTTTTCAGAAAATCATGGGAAGATCCTGACTTAAATCCCCAGAATAGGTGTAGATTTTATGCTCAGTAAGATAAGCGTGTGTTGCATTCTCAGCCTTATGTTCCACCTGCAGAAATGTAGAACTCAGGTATTACTGTGTATTTACGTATTTCCCAGGTCTTTTCCTCTTTAGTAAATTAGCCAGTGAAGAAAAAAAAGGTAATACACTGCAAAACTAGTAGTTTATGAGGCTCTGTGTCTGATGTAATTTTAAAGTACTGCTCAGAAGGGTAAATGCAGGAGTGATCTGTGGGTCACATCATCAGGAATTTCTTGAGTGTGATATAAAAAGTACAAACTCTAAAAATTAAGCTGTATTTAAAAAAAAAAAAAAAAAAAAGTTAATGTTAGCGCTCATTGGAATCAAAGACAAGAAGGTAGTATTAGCAGAGGACTCCTGACTAAATTTCTTAAGTTTAGCAGGCTTGAATCATAACCCTAATGTTCCAGTAAGAGTGTACTTTGAAATTAATTTTTAAAAGTGATATTTTACGTATCAGATTATAACACTTTTCTGCAAAATTTTGTAGATGTTAATAAAAGCATTCAAAAGAACATAACTCCTTTCACACTGAAAGATGGAAAGCCAGTTCTTTACAGAAATGCCGAGTCATGGTCTGCTGAAAAGGTATCCTCCTAAAATTGTTAGTTTGAATATTAATGTCCTGTGGTCATGTTGCTTGTGTTATTATCTTTGACTTTCTTCGGTTCTTAAATTTGCCAGTTTTGGTTGGAAGATAATTAATTTCACTAAAATCTTAAAGCAAGACAGAAGAAAGAATAGACAGGGAAAAGAATAAAAGTAGAGATAGAGAAAAAAATTCGGTTGAATATCAAATTATTCACTGAACTGCTTTCAGGTCTATGTTGATGCTTCATGTAAGCGTATGTTATGCCTGCAGTTCCTCAGAGAACATCTTTCAAATGTGTCCTCAGACTTATTTCAAAACATCCGTTCTTGTAAACAGCATATAATCTAATCGGAATACCCAGGACTGGGTATTAAGTCCAAGTTTTAGTCCAAATACCATCTAAATTTTCTTTAAATGTTTCATTTTTTTCATCTACTAGGTAGAGCTTGTAATCCTTCACAATAATACACACAGTGTGATGAAGAGTTCTGAAAGAAGATAATAAAAGTCAATTGCTAATGAAAGTTATTGAATAGCATTTCTCTATTTGCAAAAGTAGTGCAGGTTCCTGACAGCTCATCATCCAGCATGGAAATTTCATCAAATGGATTAAATTCAAATTTTCAGATGTGGAATTGACTCACGCTAAGTTGCAAATCTATAGTGTACACTTAGCTTCCATCATGGCTGGTTATTTCAATTTTACATCAAATTTACAATTATTTTTTGCATAGCTTTGCAAAAGTAAAGATGAAGGAGTTTGCGTTTTCTTTTTCCTGTTCGTGAAAATTTTGCATCTCAAACAATGGAAACTTTGTATTTACAAAGCTAACTTTCTAAATCCTCTGTCTATTCATAGGTTCTGTTTTACTAAGCTTTTGGTAAATTCCATAAACTTCTGGTGATGCAAATGTAGTAGAGCAATGTGATGCTTTTCATGAACGTTTGCTACCTTCAGTGAAAGTTGCTGGTTTTAAGTATCCTGCTAAATTAGGTCCTCAGTGACTGTGTCAAGACTGACCTTTTAGAAGAGCACTGCAGTTTGCCCCGGAGGGCTAATTCTGCAGGAATGTGTCTTTTGGAGGACAGCAAAGCCTCTCCAACATACGTGCCTAGGTTTCTTTTCTGTGGAAACAACAGAGAAGCAATGGAGGAGGCCTTGTGCGCACCAGTGGCATGGGACCTGTTGGCAGGAGAAAACACAGGGCCTGAGGGCACGTCCTGACCTAGGAACTGCCATCAGTCCAGCATCTTACAGCATCTGGTCTTACAGCTAGTCATTCTTTGCAGTCAGTGACTGTCCAAAATGTTGCCTCTCAGCAACGTTTGGAATTCAGGAATTGCTCAGAATGGGTAGTCTTTTTTTTGGCTGTTTCAAGGAATGTAAGAGTTTCCGAGAAATAAAAAATGAACAGCAAACTACCTGTTCTTAAATGGACAAAATCAGAATTAAGCTAAAACTTCATGTATTGCATGTCTTGAATCTTGCTATAACTCTTTTTAGACTTTTTTTCTGACCAAGTAACGTCTTAGTTTATTTAATATGTGATTTTGTGGGGTATAATCTTTTATTCATGGAGTGACCTACTAGTTAGTCTCTGATTTCTTTTGTTCTATGATAAACAGTTTGAACAGATGAAATTCTATTTTTAGTTACTTTTTATACTGTTTCCTTCCCCAGAAGAAAGGAAGAACCTGTTTATATTCATGATGGTTAAGCCACACAAACTAAAGACCAGCTTCAATTACCTTGATATGTTCAGAGTACCTTAACTTCATCTATGTTGTAATTATTTTCAGACCTTTAGGACTAAAACGTGTCCTAATCCATGTAAATCTTTAGCTAAATTTTCTTGCATGAGTTCTCCCATTGAAATTAATGGATGACTTTATGGTAGCAAAGATAAATACATGCATGCAACTTCACAGAGTGTGGGTGTAGAACAATAAGTACGATCATGTGTGTTATATAGTTAAATGCCACAGTATTATTATTAATTCACTGTGTTTGATGCCTAGTGGGCATGCAGAAATAAAAGTATCTTTCTGAGTTTACAGTTTAATGAATGCACCTATCAAAAAATCTGCAGATGCTGGACAAAAAAGCTCAAAAGAATTTTAAGATGTATGAAAAGAGCACGCTTTCATCAAGGATGAAAACGTCCCACTTCACAAAGCAGGTGATCTCAGCTTTTGAAAGAAAGAAACAGATTACAGAAGAAAAGGGTATTTGTTTTCCTACTTCTAGCTGGGATGTTGCTTATGCAAAATGTAAGTATTTTTTCTTGTCTTTGCTATTGTATTATTTTTCTTAGTGTAGATTTTCATGGATTTTTGACTTTTTGTCCTCGAGGTAAAATGTGGGTTATAAGGATAAGGTCTTGATTTATAATGATATCCTTCCACAGAAAGCCTATAGAAAAGCACAACAGTTGTAATGATATCCTTCCACAGAAAGCTTAGGCCTTCCATAGAAAGCCTATAGAAAAGCACAACAGTTCACACATTTATTTCTTTCCACAATTTGTCCTTCAAGGGATGATGAAAAAAGATTTGGAAGATTAGACTTTATGATTAACTACCATTTTTTTTTCCTTACCATCTGCAAACTACAATTGCTGCAGTCTGCTGTAAAGTTATGTATGTTACAAAAAATTGTTGTGTCCTGTCAGGTGCCCCAGAATTAGAGCTGTAGGGATAAATGATCTTTAATTCTTTGATAGAAATGCTAATGCTAATCCTTGGGGGGTTTTTGGTCAAATTTAAGTAGGTAAAAAACCAAATTCTTGAAAGCAGATGTTTTTCAAATCTTATTTGATAGCATTTTGAGGAATGTAATAACATACTTTGATTAACAAGAGTTCAATCTTCTTAAAAGGTTCTCAATGTGATAAACAGCCTATAACAGATTACATCAGCGAACAGAAAGATTTATTTCTACTGCAGGTACTTTAAAATGCGTATCTTGTTATAGCTGGAACTTTCTATTAAGTATAGCTTAAAAAAAAACCCAACAAATTAAATATAAACTGTAAAAGCAGCTTGAATGAGCGTGTTTCCCTCTGAATATTGACATTGTTGAGAGGTCCCCCCTATGCAATCTCTAGGTTTTACCCTGTAATCTCTGATATCTAGATCAATATCGCATAATCTGATTAAGATAATGTAATCTTAAATATTCTACTCTTAAAGTGGCTGGTCCAAACTGGTCATCCCTGTGTAGGCAGTGGAAAAAGATGTTTCTCAAGGGCGACTTGCCAGACCTTTCTAAGCCACCCATTTTATGATTGGCTGAACCATTAGTAGGATGTCTTGTCTTTTACTAATGACCATAGGAAAGCTAAAGTCTGTCACCTAGAATCATTAGTTAGATGCCACCTGTTATTAGTTGAGATAGGTCTACCCATTACAATAGAACTGCTTTTAACCAGCAGTCTTATTTATGTGTCAGTGAACTAGTCATAGAATCGTAGAATCACAGAATGCTTAAGGTTGGAAGGGACCTCTAGAGATCATCTAGTCCAACCCCCCTGCACACACAGGGTCACCCAGAGCACGTGGCACAGGACTGCATCCAAGCGGGTTTTGAAGATCTCCAGAGAAGGAGACTCCACAACCTCTCTGGGCAGCCTGTTCCAGTGCTCTGTCACCCCCACTGTTAAGAAATTTTTCCTTAAGGCCCAGCTCCCTCAGCCTCTCCTCATAGGGCAGATGTTCCAGGCCTCTGATCATCCTCATAGCCCTGCGCTGGACTCTCTCCAGCAGCTCCACATCCCTCTTGTACTGTGGAGCCCAGAACTGGACACAATAGATAGGCAGACAGTCAGATAAATAGTCAGATGGGCAAAGCTTACCAACTAATTTAAATATTTGCAGTTTTCCATGAATCTGATAAAAATGTCGTCTCATTCATACTTGTTGATGCAAGGTTGTTTTGAGTTGTCATTCCTCCCCCCAGGATGTTCCCCGCCACCACTTCCCTGGAGTCATTCTTGTAGGTCAGGCCTGGCTTGGTAGCTTTGTATTCAGTCTGTGCGAATGACGTTAGTCAGATATCAAGAGAGAAAGAAATTTTCCATATAACTGGAGAGCACATACAGGACAGGTCATGATTATGCAAATTTTTCAACACCATTGATTTATTCATGATTTACTATAGGTTTACTTTACTTTCAGCATGAGCTTATGTCAAGAGCAGGATTGCCCACTGCTTTGGAAACAGTTAACTGTTGCATGTTCTGTAGCACTATCCACCAGCTGCTTTCCCCTTGCGTTCTGTGTAAGAAACTTTTAACACTCTTGCAATACTTTAACACTCTTGTTTTCCTAGTATGCAGTAACAGAAAAGAAACAAACCGTAAAGCACCTGGAAGAATTAACAGCACAGAAGGAAAAAGAAGCAAAATCTGCAGAAGAAAAGTTAGATAAAGAATTAATTGCATTTGAAGAATTTCTTGAACAAAATAGTATGAGTGCCATGGATGCATTTAGAAAGTTAGTCTCTGTTACAGTTACAGTTCCTTTTTCCACTGAAAAATGGTGCAGATGCAATTCTCATGTTTTTGTATTTCTCTGTAGTGCAAGTAAAGAAAAAAAGTCCAAATTGAAAATGGCAACACATGTAAGGTCAGCTGTAAAAGAAATCTGTACTCTTAGAAGGTGAGGCAGTAATCTTAGTTGCACTTTTTTATTATGTGGCCTTGATCTACTAAAAAACAATCCTGGAGAATAAATTTTGCAACTACAATTGAATAAGCACATGCTTTGTTTGTTTTCAAGTCTATGAATCATGATTAAGAAAGCTAAATGGATTTGATTTTTACAAACTCAGCTGAACAGTGCAGAATGATCTAGGGTAGATGAACCAAGCTTGTATAGAGCAATATTTCTAGGGATAGAATTCTTGGGAAAGAAGTCCAGGAAATGAATTTTGCCTTGCTAACATTGAGAACAGAGCTCAGTAGTTATCTTCATCATGAATATCAGCTGCTTCATCCATTTCACTACTGGCTTCCCTGCTAAACATCTTTGCATTAAACATAAGTCTCCTGCCTTTTCTTGTGAAGGGCTTTTATAGCTTGTGCACATCACACCACCTGCTCCTAATGTTTGAAAGCGATTCCATGCTTTAGATCAGCCCAGGATCATGTGGCTGTGTTTTGTACCACAAATTACTGGCATGTGATCCACACTTGAGTTTTCAGAGATGATTCTCTGCAGTATTATAAAGTACCACAAAAAAGTTAACCATGTAGTTAAAGCTCTTCTATGGAGACGGGTACATGGCAATTTGCAATTGAGCTACCTTAAGAACCAAGTTTATTCAGAATGGCCTATTAAACAGGCCTGTGCCCTTCCTCATTGATACCATTCTGATAAGAAAGGTTGTACTTAACACAAAATTTCATATGGTCAAGGTAGGCTATTCTTCCCACTTTTTTTTTTTTTTTTGAAAGTTCTTTTGCTTATTTGGCTTTTGTTTTTTCTTGCACACTGCTGTTGAAGTGTAGGCACGAGGGGGCATTTTTAACACCTTTCTCCCCCGCCAAATTTTTCTTAAGCAAGGCAAGTGCTAGTTTATATTAGTCTATAAAATATATTACTACTTTAGACCTTAAAATTTCCTAGGACTAAGGTGTTAGTTTTGTATACACAAGCCCACTGGACATCTAGGAATTATGGTATAAAGAATGTTTGAAATACAGCTTTGCGTGTTAGTTAGTTTGTGCTGTTAATTATCAAACTGAGCTTGATGCTAACAGAGTGTGTGGTGTGATCTTGGCAGAATTCTCTCAGTGGCCTTAGGGATAGAGCGAGGATTAGCTGTGTAACCTCCATAAACTTGGTCCAGAGCTGAGTTCCTCTGTGGAGAATAAACACAAGTGATACAGCAGTCCAGAAGGGATAGATGGATTTAAAATAAACGGGTGGGGGAAGGAGTCAGATAAGAGATGTCACATTCACTTCATTATAAAGCCTGAGCTGCACTGTGTAATGTAGAACTGAAACCTATAACCACTTAGTCTATAGGTGAGAGGCTTTTTTTAGTAATCCATGTTAAGAAGTTTCTTATTAAAACATATCTAGAATAGTTTGAATCTTAATTGCTATGTCTTAACCACATTATCAAAATGTGACCATGATGTTTATATATTAACTGCAAGCTCTGACACTTCTTTCTTTAGTGAAATCTCAGATGCCGAGTTTCTCCTCCAGGAGTCCTTACACTACGAAGCTTTTTTGATGGAGCTGTCTCCAAAAGAATGGCAAGAACAACAAAAAGCAAAGAGAATGGAAGCAAGAGCTGAAAAGCTCAAGGAAGAAGAGAAAAAGAAAAAGGAGTTAATTACATGTCATTTCAGTCTACAAGAAAAGAAGGATGCACAAAACTCAAAACCTCCTCCATTCTGGACAAAGCCAACTACAATGTATGTTTCCTCCCCTTTGTTTAAGCAAATATGTCCCAAAAATGCAAGCAAAATCTAAAAAAGGTGACTAAACCTATATTTAAACCTACATAGACCCCAAAAGTAGGGGAAAATAAAAAGAGGTTGGATTAAGAGTTCTTCCACATCAATATACTTTTGACAGATTTTATTTTACATCAATGTACTTTTGACATTTTATTTTAGGCTCTGTATTTGTTACTTCTCAATTCATTTGCTTCTATCATAAGGTTTTATGAAAATATCTGCTTGCTTTTTTTTAATATTTTCTGGGAGACAAACTTAAAAATGCAGCCATTAAATGGAAAACAGAACATAAAATTCACTTCCATGATTTTTTATTTTTAATATCAAGTTTCAGTCTAGCTTGTGGTACTAGTTTGGCTTGTGACTTTTAAACATATTCCTTATAATTCATAGTAAGTAATGTGGCCTGAACATCTCCTTTGCTTCTATCATCTACTCTATTCTGCACACTCACTGACTCTCCCTCTCTACCAGTTACTCTAAACTGATATTTAACCTTCCACTAACACTAAGCATGTTTTTTTTTTTTTTTTTTCTTTTCTCTCTTATGCAGGTCTACTGTAATTTTCAGGTAAGATTTGCCCATATTTAGGTCATGGTAGTTAAAAAAAAATATATATATATATCATTTATGCTCATGTCTGTAACCACACAGAATGGTTTAACGGAGGATGACAGAGCCCTGGAGCAGGCTACCCAGAGAGGTTGTGGAGTCTCCTTCTCTGGAGATCTTCCAAACCCTGTTCTTTCACAGGAACACTCAAATTCAGATTTACCATGTCTCTGTTATAAAGATCCACGTTCTTGAAAAAAATATATACTTCATACAGTATCTTTGAATAGCTATTTAAGAGTCATGAACTTTATTATTATTATTAATAATAATGATAGCTAGGAAGAATGGCATTAATATCATAGCTTAGTTTATATAGAGTAGATGCATCTCCAAATCAGCATCTCAAGCGTACCTTGTTCCACATGTTCGATAACTCGCAAAGCTTTCCTCGCAGCCCATCCTCCCATGGACACATGGTCCTCTGTAGCAGCACTGGTTGAGAGAGAGTCCACAGAAGAGGGGTGGCACAGGGCTTTGTTCTCAGAAACTGCAAAAGTCAGGAGCAAATAAATGGGGGACAGAAAGGGCAAAAAGCACTAGAAGTAACGGCCAACCTGGAAGGAGACCGCAGCAAAGAGCCCATCCACCATGTCAGGCCCCAGCATCCTCTTTTGAGGGTGCATTAATGTTTTAATTGTACTGAGTAATTTATAATAAAATAACTTTGCCTCTGGAAAAAAAAAAACCAATATCAGTCTGTGGATGCAAATATCTTTCCCAGCTGACCTGAGGCATTTCCAGAGCCCTGGAACAGGCTGCCCAGAGAGGCTGTGGAGTCTCCTTCTCTGGAGATCTTCCAAACCTGCCTGGATGCCACCCTGTGTCCCATGCTCTGGGTGTCCCTGCTGGAGCAGGGGGTTGGACTAGATGATCTCTAGAGGTCCCTTCCAACCTCAACCATTCAGTGATTCTGTAACTGCATTAAGATTTTTTGCGAGATGAAGAAAAATATTAACAACAATCTAAAGAGCTGCCACAGAGCTTAATTAAATCTCAAATAAAATTTAAGACTCAATTAAGCTAGACCACTGCAAGTTTATTGGGTGCATAATGTCTGTAGCAAAAGCACATTTCCCATAGATATTATTTTTACACTACTTGTATCACATTAGTTCATATGATTAGTTCATTCAGCATAGAGATTGTATATTTATATTTTGCACATACTTTATAAAAAAAATCAGAACATTATAGAACATATAGCTACTTTTGCTGTCAATCTGGACACATTTATTGTGGGAAGCTGCTGCAGTTCTGTTTATATCTTCAGCCAGAATGCAAACACCAAAGCAGAAAGAAAAACCTGTGGCAATCACAGAGAAGAGTGCAGAATACAAGAAGAAAACATTCACTGCCTGTGAGACTGATCCACAAAAGACTGTTTTCCCTGCTGTTGGAGGTATGAATTCTGGATACTAAATTAGTTCACTGAGAAAGGCAAACCCTGATACATGTCTACGGCTTACAACAGCATTTATTGGCAAATCATGAAACTATACTGATTGGCTAAATAATGTGTATTTGCTTAGAAATATATCATTTTCTCTCTTGTTTTGAAGAAGATGATCCCAACTCTTTTAAGCTAGGACTAGAAGAAGGAGTGGAAGCATGGACTGAATGTAGATCTGAATCAAGTGATAGCAGAGCGTCATCACCAAGGTAAAATACAAGGAACAATCCTTGCCACTTCCTGTTTGCTTTCTTCATCTGTGAGTATATAAAGAGGAAAAAAAAATACATCCTAAAGGGAACAAACCCTCCAACAAATTTATTTTTCTTAATTTTCTTAAGTGGGGTCTATGTTGGAAATTCTTCTCTCTTCTTTTACAAGAGTCTGTTGGTGAGTCAAAGCCAAACAGTGAGTGTGGTACAAACTTACGCACTCTTCTGCCTGAAGTTTCCTTAAATTCTGAGCATTAGTATCTATCAGAAGAAGAAAACAACTTAATTATCTACCCATTGCCTACGGCTGCATTTCAGATTAAGATGTCTTGCAGAGGAATAATGTGTCTTACTGCAGTCATTTACAACAGAAGTAGACTTGAAAAGGCCTACCACAGCAAGACTGGACTTCGGTGAGGATTATGTGAAAGTATCTTTGAAGCTTCTGGTGCAATTCGCTAAACAGCTGCCAGTCTGCAGTTAGAGCTCCAAGAGTTCCCCAGGAGACAGAGCAATCATTACACAGAATAGGAGAGAAAAGGGATGAAAGAGATGTTCACTTTTGTCTTCTCATGCTATCTGGGAAGTAGCAGATATCATGATTCTACCCAGCCATTTCACAGAAGGTTGCTGCTTAGCTGTCCAGGTTTGCTGTGTACTTATTAGTTGTTGTTGGAGCTACGATATAACAAATGAAGCAATTTTACAGATGAAGATGGAAGCCTTATCTGTACCTTGATTTTGATTTTAATTATGTGCTGGACCACGTTTCAAGGATTATCTTGTCTCAAAGATTATATATCAACTAGTGAGATAAAATGATGGCTCGACCACAAGGACTAACTGATATATTTTTCTCTTTTTAGTAGGTGGGAAAATAGGATGGACAGTGTAGTAGCCAACGACTTGCCTGTGGAGGATGTGGATTGTGATGTGGTAATGAGATGATCTTTTGATCATTTTGATCTTTGAGTGTTGCTTTTATTCTATGCATTTTGCAGCAGCCTAGGGCAAAAACGGTGTGGAGGAGGGGCGCACCAGGGTGCACGGCTGCAGCTGCCCTAGCACAAGGGCAACAAGTCTCAGGCTGCTTCCTGAATTCCACTCCTGGTGTTTGACATTGATGTTTGTGTAATGTTTTAAACTTCGTAAGAAAGATATTTTCATGAATCTGAAGTTATGAAACATGCTATTTCCTGCCCAATAGATACTATGTATCTTTCCTCTCTCTGCTTTAGGTGCCAGAGATATATTTCACTGATCCAAAACAGTTACTTCAGATTTTCAGCGATCTAGAGGAACAAAACCTTGCATTGATTCAGACTATTCAAGACTTAGGAGAAACAGTGGATGAAATTGAATATACAACCAGTGCCATAAAGGAAAAAATGTACGATTTTGCTTGTCTGCATATTGGAAAAGCCTATTAGAAAATCAAAATGTAGCTAATTAAGTTGTCTTTTGGATTCATGGAAGATAGGCAGTGAACCTTATCTGTGTTTTGTATGTGTTTCAGTTATAATTCCTAAAGTCCACAAATTCTTGCTTATTTTCTAGTGGAGTGGAGGAGAAGGAGGATCTTAAGTTACCAACTGCCCAGCTTATTGTCAGTGGAGAATCTCGAGGGTTGGGGGAGGGGACTACAAGTTCCAAATACATTATAGCAGAAGTGTGTTTATACTTGTTCTGTCCTCTCAAGGACAGAGAGGAGAGGAGATCCTTTTTTGCTTCCTGCCTTAAAGAGCTACTATGTAACAACAGATTTCTAGCATTTTAGTAGCTTTTCTGGAAGATCTGAGTAAGCTGCTGGTTGATCTTACTGCACAAATGGATCTGCCAGTGGGAAGACTGAGACTTCCATTTGTTTTTACCACAGAGCTGACAAAATAAGGATCCTGGCTAGACACAAAAAGGTGCTAGAAGCAGCCTGTGTTAAAGAAGAAGAAAAAAGCATCCAGTTGGCACTAAAGACCAAGATGTTTTCTGTTGGAGAGTTTAGTTCAGAAATCCAGGTATCTTTTTTTGCAAAACACATTTTAAAACAACAGATTTTAGGTTCACAGGTTTAGAAACAAATTCTGGGCTCCCACAACTTTCACTAAACCCAGATATTGACTTTATAACTTCCACCTTCCCAGATACTTAATTTTTATGTCACCAAATAGCTAGTTCACAGCGTGCTCCTACAATTTTTGGCAGGCTGAAGATGCACTGCTTATACCAAATTCCACACCTATGTAATAGCACCCAGGAGGTTCAAGGGAAATTCTAGCAGTGAAAGGGAATCACACGAACTATGACCAGAAAGTTGGCTTGTCAAAGGGAGCCTTTAGAAAAGACTTGGAAGTCCCTCCAGGACATTTTTCACTTATTCATGGGCCCTGGCCTGAAAGTGATTGTGGAGCAACCACCATGTGAGCTGAGAGCAATGGCAAGTATAGGGCTTGCTCTCTCCCTCTCCCCTTGTGCTGCCACACATTTCCACCCTTTTGATGATGCCCTTTGAGTCATATAAAAAGTTGAGGTCTCACATACCAGATTTTCATCAAAATCAATTTATGTTCTCTTCTACAAGCTTTGTTCTAATTATGGTGGAAAAAGCTAATTACCCTAAATGTCCAAAATTCTACACCTTTCTGCCCGAAGATGAAGTCGTCCTTCTTAAGGTAGTCTAGTATGTGCATCAGTAGATGTAATAGGTTAAGTTCTCCGGCTTAGCTGGAGTAGATCAGAGACCATTTTCTTAGTACACAGGCACTTCTCACCTGGTTCTCTGAGGAATATTTTTATGTTTGAACATCTTCTGTTATAAGAAACAGGCAGCGAGCAAGCTTCTACTGGCCCAGCAAACTTTGCAGTTTCATTTTAGAGGAAGTATCACAGCCTTTCTGTCAGATGTGTTTTTGTTCAGTGTTGGGCAAACTAGTGTTTAGCAAAACGCACACAGAGTCGCCTGCTGCTGATGGATGAAGGTGTCTGTCACACCAGTGGTAAGAGCACATCACAATTGCATACTGTCCTGCTGTTTTCATAGGATTTTCACAAGTAGAAATGCTATTTTTCCTATATTTTTTATAAAATTTGCATGAGTTTCTTTTTACTTTAAGGACAAAATGCTGAATATGCTTAATAAAAAGATTGCAGAAGTATATAAATGTAGTGTTGGAAGAGAAGGGACATCAAATCTTAGCTCAATTCAGATGTTGAAAAAAATTGAGGATCGGATAGAAGAATTATGTGACTTGATGGAAACAATCCCAAGTGAAATTATTGAACAAGCTGAGAAAAGAAAGATGAGTGAGAGAAGGAAAAGGTAAGATATCTAATCTGCACAAAAATTGGATATTCCTATCTGGTTTGTTCTTTTGTGGTCTCAGTTAAGTTGCCCAGTAAAAGCTGATGGTTGGGTTTTTTGTCCTCTAAACCATCTCTTCCCTCAGTATAGCATAAACTGTATATATGTTATACTCTTGACTAGTATATATTTGAAAGTAACATACGCATGGCTTTTGGAAATCATCGGTTGACAAGTACCTCAGACAATGTAGAAATTTCATTGTCATTTTACATTATCAAATACCAAATACAGTTGGGTTCCCATCTACAGTACAGCTCTCTAAGCACAATGGTCCTGTATGTAATAGTATATTTTTAAAATAGCTGTTCAAAAAAACTCAAACCATACTATTTATCTGTTAAAATGTGTTCAAATTGTACTTTGCATTTGCTTAAAGAATAATCCCCCATACTTACACATTACAGATGGCCAGAAGAGCAAATAATTTAATGTGATGATTACTCAGTTGTTTTTGAAGAAACTTAATGTATACTTCTCTGTGCTAAACAATTGCAGAAATATTTTTAATACCATATTGGCATTAAGTAGTTCCAGTTACACTATTGTATTAGGCAAAAATAACAAAGCTTTAATCTCCCTTTGTTCTATATCATGGGTTTCACACTACCAGCTTTTAGTTTGTAATATTTACTATTGTAATTCTTTGCAACTATTGTGACAAATTTAATGTCTGCTTTTTATAGTGTGCATCAGATATGTCTTGAGAGTTCATGTATAAATGTAACCTTTAGTATTTTGAGCATAGTATTTTGATTCATTTCTGAACTGTTTTCCTAAGGTGTTTGAAAATTGAAGCTAACCCTTCCTGACCAACTCCCATTTCAAAAATAATGCTTACTACCTCTCAAATTAATGCAAATTCTTCCTTTTAAAAATGGCAAGCTTCTTCCATCTTATTTCCTCTTCTGTCCACTGCAGGTTACGCGAAGAAAAACTGAGACGAGAAAAGGAACTTCAGACAGAACGTCTTAAATCTTCTCTACAGAGAGCTATTGCAGAACCAAAGAAAAAGGTTTGTTCTTAATCTATTCTTTGTGTTTCACAATGATAGGATATTAACTACAGAGTCAGTACAAATGCATCTTTTCTTAAGAATGAATCTACAGCCACACTTCAAGCTTGCTTTGTGACTCAAAGCAGCAGAGTGTTTCTTAGAGACACTGTGGTATAACAGATCTCCAAATCTTATCTACTGTGGAGGCTTTGCAACTATTTCCAAATATTTTAGAAACAGATTTAAAGGTTAAGCACATTTTAATAACAGTATGTACATACTGTGAAGTATACACCTTGCTGTATCGTTCTGTGTTTCAGGTGGGAAGACGACTGGTATTTCGTTCACAACCTTCACCCATTAAAACAAAGAAGGCAGCCAAAGCTGAAGTCCCTGCAAATACCGAAGATGACTTACAGTTTTTCATTTAGAGGTTCCACTTCCTTTCTACTCAAAATAGGGTTAAGATAGCATTAGAACAGCTCAACCACTTGAGAGCAAAGGGACTCACTAAGAAATCAGCAGTATGCTGCAGCAGGCACAGCAAGCTATTTTTCTACAGCCTGGTTTATCACTATTCGAGAGAAGAAGCTATTCGTGCTGCTCCTTCACTCAGCTGAGAACAGCAGCAGCAGAAAGACCCACACACACAAGGTGGGCAGTTCTTCATCTTCCATTGCATACTAGTTTTTTCAATTTTAATTTGCAGTACTATTCCCTTCCTCCAGCATTAGTTGTTTAGATGCCATTAAGTGCTTAGAAATGATTTAAGTTTTAGCTTTCCCCGTATGTAGAACAAGAAGTACACACTGTACTACAAAGTTGTGGAAAATAAAAAAGACCAAAAAAACCCCAGTTTATTTCCAGATATACAAAACACCTATTCTCTCATTTCTCCATCTTCTTCCTCTTCTTCCACACCTCTGATGTACAAAACATTATTGCACCTATGAGCAGAATAATAAAACAAACTGTTAACCATTAATATATTTGTTTTACTTTTAGCCACATATACACTGTTTTAACATTTTCCAAGCTTAGCAAGAGACAACTTCTGTTTATTACGTTGTGGCTGTTCACCTTGTACTACTTTTCCTTGGAGTTCATTGTAATTGCAGGAAAATTCTGTCTTTGGAAGTATTAACTACTTAAGAGCACAGTACAAGGCTATTTTACTCGTGCATTAAGGTATAGTCTAGTTTAATATTCAAGCATGTAAAATTAGCAATACATAATACACTGTATTAATGCTAACAGATTAGCAAATCTACAGTAGTCTGGCATTTGGCTACTGAAAAGAGGGATCATAAATACTTCTTTAGAAGTATTCTTTCTTCACATAAGAGTTAAGAGTCTCTGCCCAAGAACTGTATTGAACAGTTACAACTGTGGCATGCACTTAGCCAGGAGGCAGACCGCAACGCGTCAGGGCCGCCAAGCGCCCTGCTCCCGCGCGCCAGAGCGGCCCCTCACCTGCATGTTCATGTAGCCATCGACGGACACGAGGTAGCCCTTGTACTCCATGCCCCACTTGAGCTTCACCATCACCGGCTTCCCCGTGAGCCCGTTCAGGAAGGGTTTGGGGTTCAGCGGCAGGCTCTGCCGGAGGGAACCCCCGGCAGCGCGACACGGCCCCGCGCCCGTCAACGCTCGCGCCTTCCCGCCCGCTAAC